TCGTAACCAGAAGGTCCTGGGTTCGAATCCCGGTGGGCGCGTACTGCTGAAGAGTCCCAAACTAGGACGAAACAGCTGTCCAGTACTCCCAGCTGGTTTTCCAGTGGTTCTCTAACTGATGTCAGCTCATGATGAAATCCTCCATGCAATCAAACCAAATCCCTACAAAACCAATACTTGCAAATTAATCTGATGCTCACTAGTGACTGGCCCTATTCAGGCAGTTAACCTGGGGTTCTAGTGGGAAGCCGTGACCAGTAGGGTACAGCAGGTTGAAGATGAGGACAGTTACTCATCGAAGAAGACATTGCGAAATGGTCGCGCTATGTCGTGAATTGGCAGAAGTTAGAATTCAAGGACCATTGGATCGGGTCCCAGTGGCTCAATGGTCTACGAGTTCGCCTCGTAACCAGAAGGTCCTGGGTTCGAATCCCGGTGGGCGCGTACTGCTGAAGAGTCCCAAACTAGGACGAAACAGCTGTCCAGTACTCCCAGCTGGTTTTCCAGTGGTTCTCTAACTGATGTCAGCTCATGATGAAATCCTCCATGCAATCAAACCAAATCCCTACAAAACCAATACTTGCAAATTAATCTGATGCTCACTAGTGACTGGCCCTATTCAGGCAGTTAACCTGGGGTTCTAGTGGGAAGCCGTGACCAGTAGGGTACAGCAGGTTGAAGATGAGGACAGTTACTCATCGAAGAAGACATTGCGAAATGGTCGCGCTATGTCGTGAATTGGCAGAAGTTAGAATTCAAGGACCATTGGATCGGGTCCCAGTGGCTCAATGGTCTACGAGTTCGCCTCGTAACCAGAAGGTCCTGGGTTCGAATCCCGGTGGGCGCGTACTGCTGAAGAGTCCCAAACTAGGACGAAACAGCTGTCCAGTACTCCCAGCTGGTTTTCCAGTGGTTCTCTAACTGATGTCAGCTCATGATGAAATCCTCCATGCAATCAAACCAAATCCCTACAAAACCAATACTTGCAAATTAATCTGATGCTCACTAGTGACTGGCCCTATTCAGGCAGTTAACCTGGGGTTCTAGTGGGAAGCCGTGACCAGTAGGGTACAGCAGGTTGAAGATGAGGACAGTTACTCATCGAAGAAGACATTGCGAAATGGTCGCGCTATGTCGTGAATTGGCAGAAGTTAGAATTCAAGGACCATTGGATCGGGTCCCAGTGGCTCAATGGTCTACGAGCTCGCCTTGTAACCAGAAGGTCCTGGGTTTGAACCCCGGTGGGTGCGTACTGCTGAAGAGTCCCAAACTAGGACGAAACAGCTGTCCAGTACTCCCAGCTGGTTTTCCAGTGGTTCTCTAACTGATGTCAGCTCATGATGAAATCCTCCATGCAATCAAACCAAATCCCTACAAAACCAATACTTGCAAATTAATCTGATGCTCACTAGTGACTGGCCCTATTCAGGCAGTTAACCTGGGGTTCTAGTGGGAAGCCGTGACCAGTAGGGTACAGCAGGTTGAAGATGAGGACAGTTACTCATCGAAGAAGACATTGCGAAATGGTCGCGCTATGTCGTGAATTGGCAGAAGTTAGAATTCAAGGACCATTGGATCGGGTCCCAGTGGCTCAATGGTCTACGAGTTCGCCTCGTAACCAGAAGGTCCTGGGTTCGAATCCCGGTGGGCGCGTACTGCTGAAGAGTCCCAAACTAGGACGAAACAGCTGTCCAGTACTCCCAGCTGGTTTTCCAGTGGTTCTCTAACTGATGTCAGCTCATGATGAAATCCTCCATGCAATCAAACCAAATCCCTACAAAACCAATACTTGCAAATTAATCTGATGCTCACTAGTGACTGGCCCTATTCAGGCAGTTAACCTGGGGTTCTAGTGGGAAGCCGTGACCAGTAGGGTACAGCAGGTTGAAGATGAGGACAGTTACTCATCGAAGAAGACATTGCGAAATGGTCGCGCTATGTCGTGAATTGGCAGAAGTTAGAATTCAAGGACCATTGGATCGGGTCCCAGTGGCTCAATGGTCTACGAGTTCGCCTCGTAACCAGAAGGTCCTGGGTTCGAATCCCGGTGGGCGCGTACTGCTGAAGAGTCCCAAACTAGGACGAAACAGCTGTCCAGTACTCCCAGCTGGTTTTCCAGTGGTTCTCTAACTGATGTCAGCTCATGATGAAATCCTCCATGCAATCAAACCAAATCCCTACAAAACCAATACTTGCAAATTAATCTGATGCTCACTAGTGACTGGCCCTATTCAGGCAGTTAACCTGGGGTTCTAGTGGGAAGCCGTGACCAGTAGGGTACAGCAGGTTGAAGGTGAGGACAGTTACTCATCAAAGAAGACATTGCGAAGTGGTCGCGCTATGTCGTGAATTGGCAGAAGTTAGAATTCATGGACCATTGGATCGGGTCCCAGTGGCTCAATGGTCTACGAGTTCGCCTTGTAACCAGAAGGTCCTGGGTTCGAATCCCGGTGGGCGCGTACTGCTGAAGAGTCCCAAACTAGGACGAAACAGCTGTCCAGTACTCCCAGCTGGTTTTCCAGTGGTTCTCTAACTGATGTCAGCTCATGATGAAATCCTCCATGCAATCAAACCAAATCCCTACAAAACCAATACTTGCAAATTAATCTGATGCTCACTAGTGACTGGCCCTATTCAGGCAGTTAACCTGGGGTTCTAGTGGGAAGCCGTGACCAGTAGGGTACAGCAGGTTGAAGATGAGGACAGTTACTCATCGAAGAAGACATTGCGAAATGGTCGCGCTATGTCGTGAATTGGCAGAAGTTAGAATTCAAGGACCATTGGATCGGGTCCCAGTGGCTCAATGGTCTACGAGTTCGCCTCGTAACCAGAAGGTCCTGGGTTCGAATCCCGGTGGGCGCGTACTGCTGAAGAGTCCCAAACTAGGACGAAACAGCTGTCCAGTACTCCCAGCTGGTTTTCCAGTGGTTCTCTAACTGATGTCAGCTCATGATGAAATCCTCCATGCAATCAAACCAAATCCCTACAAAACCAATACTTGCAAATTAATCTGATGCTCACTAGTGACTGGCCCTATTCAGGCAGTTAACCTGGGGTTCTAGTGGGAAGCCGTGACCAGTAGGGTACAGCAGGTTGAAGATGAGGACAGTTACTCATCGAAGAAGACATTGCGAAATGGTCGCGCTATGTCGTGAATTGGCAGAAGTTAGAATTCAAGGACCATTGGATCGGGTCCCAGTGGCTCAATGGTCTACGAGTTCGCCTCGTAACCAGAAGGTCCTGGGTTCGAATCCCGGTGGGCGCGTACTGCTGAAGAGTCCCAAACTAGGACGAAACAGCTGTCCAGTACTCCCAGCTGGTTTTCCAGTGGTTCTCTAACTGATGTCAGCTCATGATGAAATCCTCCATGCAATCAAACCAAATCCCTACAAAACCAATACTTGCAAATTAATCTGATGCTCACTAGTGACTGGCCCTATTCAGGCAGTTAACCTGGGGTTCTAGTGGGAAGCCGTGACCAGTAGGGTACAGCAGGTTGAAGATGAGGACAGTTACTCATCGAAGAAGACATTGCGAAATGGTCGCGCTATGTCGTGAATTGGCAGAAGTTAGAATTCAAGGACCATTGGATCGGGTCCCAGTGGCTCAATGGTCTACGAGTTCGCCTCGTAACCAGAAGGTCCTGGGTTCGAATCCCGGTGGGCGCGTACTGCTGAAGAGTCCCAAACTAGGACGAAACAGCTGTCCAGTACTCCCAGCTGGTTTTCCAGTGGTTCTCTAACTGATGTCAGCTCATGATGAAATCCTCCATGCAATCAAACCAAATCCCTACAAAACCAATACTTGCGAATTTGATTTCATTTGAAAGAGGTAAGTCATGTGGGGAGAAAGAGAAAAAAGAAAAGGAGAGAAAACAGCACCCTGGGGAACACCAACTTCAGTAAGCAAGGCAGAGGAAGATTTTCCCCCTTACACACAGTAAACTGCCTCCTATTAGAAAAATAAGAATGTAACCAGTTAACAGTCTAGGATTCAGTTTATGTAAGGGAAGGCTTATTTAACAAGTGTCATCTAGATACTAAGTCAAAAGCAAATGCGCACTGAAAGAAGTTAGAGCATAAATATCTGACCCCTTTGTCTAAAGAGGAGACAATGTTATGATGTAATACAGCGTCAGCATCTAAATTACCTCTGCCCTGCCTATAATCAAACTCTTTGGGATCGTTAAAACCTTTTACAGACAATACAAGCTTGAGTAAGAGTAATTTACCAATTAATTTTGAAAAAGGAGAGGTAATTGCAGTAGGTCTAAATTTAACATTAATACCAGAACCTGATTTGGGTACAGGGATGACTATAATGTCTTCCCACGCAGCAGATGCAATATTACTGAAAAAGGAAGTATTGAATATATTTGTAAATGGGTGACATAAAATATCAGCACAACTCATGAGGACAACAGCAAGTATACCATCAGGACATAGGCTCTGGGAACGTTTAAGAGATTTCAAACACTTAAGAACACCAAAATTGTTAATGCCATGAAAGTCACTGACCTTGTTATTTGTTATGTTGGAGAAAAAAGCATCTTAAGGAGAACATATGAGTGATTTACTGAGAGTATTTACATCAAAAGAGGGGACGATAATACATCGCTTACCAGAACCTATAATTTCACTGAAAGTTTCCACATGTTTCAGGGAGTTTTATATGGCAAGAGGTTTTGGTTATAATCAGGATGTTTATCGATTTTAGACCTGATTTGTCGTTAGACTTGTACAACCGCTCTTCTTCTCTTCGTAGCTTTCTTGGATAAGGAGAGGGGAAGCGGTCAAGACTCTTAAATAGCATCTGTTTAAAACAGCATACGTCTTTAGAAAAATTTTTTCTTTGAAAAAGAATATGTACCTGAAGACTAAGCATTCACATGTCAAAAACAGATACTGTGAAAATAGTTCAAACATGAAAAAAACGCCGCCTATTTAAATCGATTGAGTTATGCCTTCACTTTGTTTTGCATTAATTAATTTTACCTACAGGTATACCTCTGTTAATGATACTTAATCAATAGTTATAATTATAGTAACTTGAGATTTGTTCAGGACATTAGATGTACAGAGAGTCCAAAATCATCAGCGTAATTTCTTCCAAATTATTTTCTCCTATTAGGCGCATCTCCAAATAAATATTTATTGTCAGTTTATCGTATTTATCGATGTCATTCTCTCTGTGAAGCAAGACGGAATCCTATTTAAAATTTGATGCCGTCCATTTTCTTCTAGAAGTGCATAGTGGTTGGTTGGTAGCCAATTACAATTTCTCGTAAATTAATGTTGCGATCGAAATAAACAGAGAAAAGTAGATGCATTATGCCAGATGGATGCAAATTTAGGGTAGATTAGTGGTTTAAGTAAGCCATCAGAAAGTGTAGCTTTTTATCCTGGTGTAACGCTAGTAGGCATGAGAATCGCTAACGGATTCTTCCTCTTCTCATAAACTACCTGAAGGAACTACTTCTCAGATGTACGTTTAATATCCAGTTCAAATTCAGTGAGCAATTCTATGTGCAGAAAGATGGTGTAGCCATGGGGTCTCCTCTTGGTCCACTCCTAGCCGACTGCTTCACGGCAAGTCTCGAAAACAACATCCTTGACCCTTTGATAAGTCAACTACACTTATACAGGAGATACGTAAATGATAAGTTAATAATTTGCGATGAAAAATCTGATTTAGATTATCTCCTTAAAACTTTCAACGCAGCGCATCCATCAATAAGTTTCACCTTAGAAAGAGAATCGAACAACGCATTTCCATTTCTTGATGTACTACTCACCAGACGACACGACTGTACCATCCGAAGATCGATATATCGCAAGCCAACATGGACAGGACAATTTATCAACTTCCAGAGCTTCGTCCCATTGATCCGAAAGCACAACCTGGTAAGTCCATGAAGTTCAAGGATTAGAAGAATCTGTTCGGAAGACATGATAGACGAAGAATTAAATTTATTACGTGAATCCCTACTAGAGAACGGGTATTCACCAAGATTCATAGACAAAAACGTGAAAGAGAAGCCTCCGTCGCCAAACATCGGAATTGTTCCCAGGAAAACTGTCTTCATGAACATGGAATTCAGAGGTAACATCGAAGCAGAAATTCTTAGAAACCACCTTTCTAAGTATCTGAAGACGACATTTCAAGCAGCCACTTTACGTATTAAATCTTCCAGTAGACAGTTAATCCAGTCAAGCTTTAAGGATAATATACTGCCTTTAGTCATCTTAGTGTATATTTATCGGTTTATTTGTCCCTGTGGAGCAAAGTAACGTCAAGTCCACAGACGTATTCTGGAACACTGTCCAGCATGGTTAGCCAGAGGTGAAAAAAGAATAACAGCACCTCCTCGAACACCTCGTCAACTCTGGGCACAGGATACCGACGCATGACTACCTCACAGTGCTACATAGAGTCCCTCAATATCGTAGAAAAGGACTTCGAATACGCCATCTGTACACAGCTGAAGCATTAGCTATTCGAGATCTGAAACCATTCAAATGAACTACAACATTTACCGTGGACAGACTAACGTTCTCAGTATAATTCTGCTCCCTTTCATTATGTAAGTTTACTATTATTATTATTCTCATCATCCTTATTTCATTATCACTCTACTACTGTTTATTACTAATAACACTGATGCTCACTAGTGGCTTGCTACAGGACGGAGTTTCTTGAAGTTCTAGTGAGAAGTCGTGACAAGTGAGGTCCATCCAATCAAGTGTGAGGATGGAGTTCTCACCGAGGACGTTGACTGGTGGTCGCGCTAAATCACGAAATGGTAGAAGTTAGAATTCATGGGATGGCCATTGGATCGGGTCCCAGTGGCTGAATGGTATATGAAGTAGCTTACCTTGTAACCGGAAGGTCCTGTGTTCGAGCCCTGGTGGTGGATGTGTAATGCTACGATTCTCAAAAAGTACGATGAAGCAGCTGTCCAGTACTCACTCCCTGGTTTTCAGTGGTCCTCTAACTGATATCAATACGTGGTCAAACTCGTAAATACAGATTTTAGTAAATAACAATTTATAGTCTTTCCACCAATTTTTGTCCAATTTGCACACACATTAATTATCCATTTTCACACATAATGTTATCCCAATTTCTACCCCCTATTTCTAAACTTCAACTAGTCATTCTCTTCTAGATTACACCTTATATTATGTGATACATTTCCTACAAAAAGTTTACCAGTATCTGGTTGAGCTTATAAATTCTTTGTTAAATATAATTACGATTGTACAGCTTATCAAAATGAATCGTCGAGAAGAAGATTTTCTTTTCTGCGTACGTCTTTTTCTTATGATTCAACATTCGGATATTCTTTTCAGTAAAGAATTACAAGGATCCTGTGACAGTAAAGGAATTGGACAAATTCCCGTGTTTCTTTGACAAGCTTGATGGAGTTAACACGGAACCTAGTTGTGTTTGGAATGCGATATATAACTTTCAGTGCTTTGTTAATATCAATTTTAATGGTCACTATCTATGAGGTATACTATAGCAGAGTTATGAATAGATCTTGATCGTCCGTCGCTTAACCATACAAGAGGATATTCGGAAATCCGATGCTGAAGCTGCCTAATTGTACTGCCAATGCAACTAGCCCCATAGGAGCAGTCAAAACTGGTATATACACACATACAGGAGACGAAGTCAGGTAGTTTATGCAGTGTAACTATACACCCTTCGCAGTACGTCATCGCGCCTTCGTCATCTTTTAAAATCTTGTTTTTTGTCTAAACGGTGTTCATATTTCTCTTTGTGGATTTTTAGGACTTTCGATGTCACCTACTATTGTAATTTAAGTGTTATTTCCGTCCATATTGCGAGCTTCTGTCCTTTTCTTCTAAAGAATGTTTATCTTACAATCCCAGTAATATTCAATTGTGATAACAGTTAATTTTATCCACAATTACGAATTCAACTATATATATTCCCGTATGTCACTCGCGATTTCCTATTTAAAATTCTTAGCCAACTTGATAAAAGTATTTTCAAATCCCAATAAATAAAGAAAGACTAGATTTGAAGTACAAAATGATATCATAATTCTACTTCACAGGTTCTCATCAGTTGAAAACCAGGTGAAATTACAATAGTTATAAAAGAATGGCAGTGACATACTTCAATGGCTGAGCTATTAGTGAAAACATGACAGTTTCCGTCCTATAAGCTATAAGCGTGGATCAGTAAGGACACTGTACGATAGAGGAAGGGAGTTATGTTCACCCAGCAGGGTGGAAGAAGAATTTGAATTTGATGAGAAACGCCCAAGAGAAAATGACCATCCAAAGGAACTCATCCAAAAGTTAACAAGGTAAAGGACAAGAAAATGGAACATCCAAGTGCTGAAAAGAAGAAAGTGTTCATTTATCTCCCATTCGAAGCAGAAACAGTATCAAAGACGATTGACAAGATGATCAATAGAGTAGTAAAAGATGCTTTTCGGCAGCTAAGCTCATAACACTGTAAAACAATCCATGCTCTATAAGCCAGTCCAGATTGGATAAATACCCTGCTGATGTCGTCTCCAGCTGCGTTTACAAATTGATACTTGCCTGCTGGATCAAGTACATTTGAAGAATAGAACGGCTTCTATCCATTTTTCAGATCATATCCCAAGAAAATTACGCAGATATTCTCAAAGTGCAATTACCAGACACCTTGTGAATATGAGTCATTTCGTCGAAGCTTTTAAATCCTTCAAAATATTAAACACACAAAGGACAGCAAATTTACTACGATTTGCTTAAGCAGTTACAATCAAACCAAACTAATGCACACATAAGGAGAGTGTATTCAATCTCTCACTCCCTTGGTAAATGCATTTTGATTACATTGATTAGTCTTCTGTACTAGTAATTTCAGCTTACTAAGTTTTCAAATTCATGAAGTGCCACCTCCTCGATTTGCCATGTGGACCTACAAGCTAACACTTTTTCTGTTTTCTGTTTTCTTCTCCCTCTTATTCTTTGTCTATTTTGAAAGCATATAGACTGATGGTAACTTTAACTAAAATTTGTAATGCGTATATTTCGGATGAGTTAATTTTGTAATGTTTTCTCAGCAAAGTTAAACTATCATAGCCAAAACTACAGTGACCTTGAACAACCAATCAGAATTCAGGTGCAAAACAGTCGCATAACTGTTGAAAAATGCACTAAAAATATTGCAAACTTGATATTACACTATATAGTTGTAGTTTATGTGTTGTAAGTATACCTCCCAGTCAATACACAGACGATCTATAGAGAAATCGCGCCATGCGCAACTTATACATTCATTCACATGACTGTAGGTCATGAATGGTACTTCTAGATCCATTGATATTTCTGACACTATTCTTCAACCTACTCCTAACTCTGACTTTAACCCTAAACCTAACCTAAACCCTAGAACCTAAACCTTAGTCTTAAAAGTCATAACCCTACACAACAGAAAAAGTACCTAGTAAATAAGTGGAATACTGCAAATATCTTCTCCAAGTTCAAAAACGGAGACATGATTTGATTTGGAACGACATTGCATAGCATTCTTCGTTTCTAATTGGTTCTTGGAGGTCAAACTTTGAGAGACCTTGACTTTAGCTTTAATACTTTAACTTAGCCGTTTCCCCCATTGTCATTCAAACATTGAAACATTTTATTGTCATTGTTTCTAACCGATGTAATTCCAGGCAGTCTGCAGCAGCTGACGAGAGCCTGTGAAATAGAATGATGATACCATTTTATTCTTCAAATCTGGTCTTCCTTTCTTTCTTTCTCCATCGAAACTTATTAACGGCACTAATTTATGAAATATTTCCAAATCCTATGAATTAAATACATGCTGGTATTGTTCAAATTGCAGTTAGCTGAAGAGAACTCTTGAGGTAATAACAAAATCCAAGCTCATATTATTCCATTGGTATATTTTCCTTTATTCAAGTTTATTGGTGGGAAGAATTCTGTGAACAGTCAAACTGCTAAATCTTCATGATGTCATATACTCTACCTATTGATAAAAGTA